TTATACATAGAAAAATTTTTACACAGATTCAAAATGTATGATTGTAAGCCTGTACCAACTCCTTTTGAAGCTGGGATTCAATTGAAAAAGGCTGAAAATATAACTGAAGTATTGAAAAATGTACCTTATCAAGAAAGTGTAGGCTGTCTGTTGTATTTGTTCCAAAGTACACGGCCAGACATAGCCTTCGCTGTTAATACTGTCAGTAGATTTAATAACAATCCAACAATGCAACATTGGATTGCTTTCAAGAGAATATTTCGTTACTTGAAAGGATCTATTGATTTGAAACTTACATTTAAAAAGGATAACAAAAACATAGTTGGTTATTGCGATGCAGATTGGGCCAGCGACATCATAGATCGAAGATCCTGCACTGGTTATTTATTTATATTTCAGGGTGCATGTATAAGTTGGAACTCTAGAAAACAAACCACAGTGGCACTGTCCAGCACTGAGGCTGAGTACATGTCTCTGGCATCAGCTGTTCAAGAGGCGATCTGGCTAAGGCAACTTAATGATGACATCTGGCATAACATTTCAAGTACTCCTATAACTATATACTGTGATAATAAAAGCGCTATTAGTCTTTCAGGCTCTAATGTCTACCATGCTCGCAGCAAACATATTGATGTTCGCTACAACTTCGTAAAAGAAAAGGTTGCTGCCAAGGCGATACATGTGGAGTACATAAGCACCGAGTACATGTTGGCGGATGCGTTGACAAAGGGACTACATCGACCAAAGTTGCGTCATCTCACAGTTGGAATGGGTTTGCGTTCAGGAGAGGGTGTTAGTATGAACGCATAAAGTTACACTACTATTGTCTATTGTCAATGATCTATTTTGTCTATACTCTCTCTCTCACCGACGCTCTGGCGTGTGACATCTCGTTTTGGTTGGTTGTTATTCAAATCTAAATTTTTCTAACATTAAATACAGTTTAAATTATAATCAAGTGCTTTATTTATATACAACACTTGGTTCCACGACCACCGCCCCGACATCCATTCTGAGCATGAGACATAATCCGATTCATATGAATATGCCGGGTGATTCTCATGCTCAGAATAGATGTCAGTGTCTTATAGATGGTGGGTAGACACGTAATGAGGCGGTACTTACTCGGGTCTGTGGTAACTTGTTCTTCTGGGAGCGACCTCTGATCGAGAGCTTCTTGGAACTGTCGGGCGAGCACAGCATGACACACCAGTAGTGATGCAGCCCGTCGAGTCCCGGACTTTTCCAGTTCGGGGCTCTACGGACTGCCTCAGATACGTCGTCGGGTGTTATGACGACGGGGTCCATGGGTGTAATATCTGCACATTGGCTCGCCACGACTTGTGTCCAAGGGCCCTCGCTGTGGTCTACGGGCTCTGACCACAGGCTGCGCCAGAAGGCGACAGTGTCTGCCTGGTCCGGTCCTTGGCCCGTTCCACAGCTCATTGGTCGCTCCAAAGATTTGTAGAGCCTCTTTTGGTCACTCTGGAAGAGGCGATTCTGGCTAAGCCGCGCCGTCCTCTCGGTATATCTCCGAATCCGCTTCCCCCAAGCAGCGATCCTCTCCTTCAGGTCATCTATGCGCTCCGTTAGTTTTTGCGTAATATAATAGGCTGGGACACGTTGATGTGGGTCCCAGCGAACGCCATCCTAACGGTGCGTACAATTCTGGGCCTATTATTGCCCGACCTGAAGCTTATCAGCCTGCCGATGATGGCCCTTACCTTTGCGATACGGTCCTCAATTCTTCTTCTCCATGCTGGGATAGTGCTACCTGGTCTGGTAGCACGTCCAGCCTTGGGAAGTTTGGCGCCAACGATTCGGCATACCGCCAGTGCAGCGCCAAAGAGAATTGAGTCCGTATCGCAAAGATCCCGGCTAGCTTCCAAATAAGGTGCCAGCATCGGGTTAAGAGACCTCACGACAGACCGACTCCGCTTACTTAGGGGTATGCGGGGGAGACGTGGTCGATACTCGAGAGGCGTTTCGCGCACCTCCAGAATTGCCTCCTCCAATATACTTCTCATCTGCTCTATTTCTTGGGCGACTATTCCATCATCGCACGAATCTACAGGAGCCGGGGGGTAAAAAAGGGCCTCCGCTTCCGCTTGTAACCCTGCGAGATCCGCAGGTTGCGGGGTCGTATTTCCTGCTACTGCATTCTCATCCGATGAGGGAACAGCCTCACGTCGAAGTCGTTCGAGCTCGGTAATAAAGAGCCTTTATTGTTCGCGTTCTAGAAATTTCCATCTCGGTATCCGCGGCGGAGCGAAAACCGTCCCCGCTATAGGGGAAAGGAAGTAATCGGTAAAAAATGAGATTCAACTCTTTTTCTCAACTCATGATAAAATAGGAAAACTCTAAAAGGGTTTTAAAAAAAGCAAGACTTTCCAATAAGTACTAATTTAATGACACTCTATACTATAAAGATTATAGGATAAAATATTTTAGTACTAAACTAAACTTAAATATGTTTACGAAGTTTTTCCAGTGTTTATTTATAAGTAAAAATTAAACTGTGCCTACTCTGTATGTACATAAATGTTATTATACATACATAATTATATATCTTTCTACATATTCTACTGTACATGTGTATAGGACAACGTCTGTCAGATCCACTAGTATACGTGTAGATGTAATGTATATAGTTATATATACATGATACGACGTGATTTTTTAAAGCTTGTAAATGACGTCAGTACTAATAATAAATTTCCATCCAGCTCGTTTGAAGGCGCATTTACTCTCGAGTAAATTCCATCCCGAGTCAAATAAACGAGTACAACTAAACTTAACGCAATTTTTCGATGACCACAAACTATAACTTTAAAGGCACGTATGGTTTTGAAGATGAGATTAGTCTGAATATCATATTCCCATGATATATGTTATTAAGGAACAAGTCGTCCAGTTTAAGGTTTTCTTTAACGGATTTTTAATATGATTATAAATTATATTATAAGGCAGTGGAAAAACTATTCCATACGGGTTCTTTCTCTTCTTTATTTTGTATCTGCTTGTCAGCCGTGATAGCTCATTGTCCGGGGGCTCGCTTTTAATACTCGAGCAAAGGGAGTTCAGAGTTCAGACCTCGGCGCCGGATCTCCTGAGTGCTGACTTATCACGTGCTCAGTGGCGAAGGAAAACATCGTAAGGAAACATGCATATTTTCGAAATAATAACAAAAAAAATGTTTCGAAGATATGTGAAGCTGCTGTGGAAATGTGTAGGCCGTAGCTCGTAGAACCGATAAACACTGGGGAAGACAGTTTCTGGAGTGGTAGCCTCGTACTGGCCATCGCAATGTAGGACGAAACGCGTGGTGGAGCATGCCCTAATGTTCTCTGTACAGAGAAGGCCTTTGCCCATTAGCGAGACATCATAGACTGTTACTTTTCTTTTATATTCTGACCTGAATATAGTGTGGTAAAGAGTTCTATTTTTAGTGCTGTATGACGCAGGTTAATACTGCGCTGCGTTTAAATAATATTGTTCCGCTTTACTTTATATGACAAGTGAATGTGACAGATGATATAGAACTTATACTACGGAAAGAGATAGCAGTCTGTAGAATTGTAATCTAATCACACCGATTGGCGTAAGTTGAGTGCCTCAGTTTCGTTACGCTAATGTCATATCTACCTCGTATTTGTATATAATATCATTGGTTAAAGCACTTGTAATAATTAGTAAATCACTATGTAAAACAGAATAACTTTTTGACGCCAGTATCCGTGAATAGCGAGTACACTAGCGATATTAAACAAGGCACGGACGTTTTTAGAAAAGCCAGCATCTTGCGGAATTTTCGCCGTACCGCAAATACATTGCAAATCGGGGTGGTTCTTACGTAGTTATTTACTAGTCCAAAATACATAATTAACCAAAAAAAACGGAGCAAAGCTCGGTCCTCCAGGTACTAATTAATTAAAAGACTAATATAATGCATTATAAAACATAGTCTCGTTTAACGGTGTCGTCAATTTCATTTTAATACCAAATTTATAATAGGGGGTATAGTTACTATAAGACGGTTACTATAAGACGTATGAGTGATTTTGGCATCTAACAAATCGGGAGACATTGGTGCATGCAACTGTACCCGAGCCTGTGACCCTTTGATTACTAGTCGGAGGTTGCAGCCTATAGGCCGTCTTGTCTTATGACTACGGTATTTTATAAAGGCAGAGATAATTTTAAAATGTGACGAAACAAAGGCAATTAATCTCGATGTACGCTACTGCGCACTATCGTTTTTATTGATCTGGACGGATGGCGAGGTGCGTTTGCCAAAACCGTCCCCGCGTGCTTTGTAAGCGAAGGCCCTCTACAGAGACTAAGCAAAATTAGTATACCTCAATTGTGTATACTTTGAGGTATACTTATCTAACCACCTATCAAACCCGTCCA